ATAGTGTCATATCCAGCATAGAGTACAGATTAACCACCCAGAAATGAACACACTGACAATCAGTGTCATATCCAGCATAGAGTACAGATGAACCACCCAGAAATGAACACACTGAAAACCATAGTGTCATATCCAGCATAGAGTATAGATTAACCACCCAGAAATGAACACACTGAAAACCATAGTGTCATATCCAGCATAGAGTACAGATAAACCACACAGAAATGAACACACTGAAAACCATAGCGTCATATCCAGCATAGAGTACAGATAAACCACCCAGAAATGAACACACTGACAAACATAGTGTTATATCCAGCATGGACTTTAATTTGAGTAGCCTCCTACACATTAATAATATAGTCTATGCAGAAATTGTTTTCACTTATATTAAATAAAAAAACAAAATAATGTTATAAACATGTCTACCTGCAGCCATCTCATTTTTCTTGTCTTCCTCTTCAAGGTCAATTACAATTTCTTTACTACCAGCTTTATTCTTTTTCTTTCGGCGTGAAAGGGTGAACTTTCGTAAGGTCAACAACCTGTACATTTCATAACCCATCAACAAGACTCCTCCTTTATCGTGCCAATCAGCTGAAAAGAGAACAGAGTTCATTGAAATGCATGCAAGATGTGTCTTTCAGTTACACTACTTAGTACACTGTTTCTAATATTTGAAAGAACTTTACTGATGTCTTTAAGACAGAGAGAAACTGGTACAGAAGCTTTCACAAAATTTTTGACATAAACACGCTTTATAGAAATATTATTAATAGCATTTCACAGTGCTAGAGAATGAGAAGAGTGAAAGGATGTATGTATGTATGTATCACTTGATACGTGATGTATTTGTGAAGTTTAAACTTCCAAGCATGTATGAAATTTGGCTCTGTGGAGCTGCATTTGTGATGACAGCTAGTCATATTGCATTTGATGGGACAAATAGGTGAGTGCATTTGTTCGTATGATGTACGGTAGTATGCATGTGTGAAGCAGATATATGGACACAACACATACTATTTGAAACAAAATGGCTGCTAGTCGGCCATTTTGAACTTCTCTCGAAAAATAAAATGATGAGCATCAAGGTTCCGTTATGTTCAGTTTATGTATAAAGTTTGAACTGAATATGTACATGCATGAAGTGGCTACCATTTGACCATCTTGAATCAGATCATAAAACCTAAATGGTTCATGCACTCTGCGCCACCATCTTTGTTACCTCAATCAAAATCTCCATTGTAAACCAGCATGCATCGGTTGTGATGTCACTACATGCGTCGCCTTAGGGTGGCGTTCCTCGGTAATGACACACTATGAATGAGGTATTTCTAGAGGTCAGGGTTCGTTTTTTCCTCGTCCGTCTCATCTGCAGTTGAATAATTTTTACTTCGATTTATTGACAGTTTTTTTTTCCAATGCGACTTAATTTCACTTGTTTTTTTAATTCTTGGTAATTAGTGTCACTGGCGATGAAGTAGTAAAAACGCAATTAACCGCAGTGCAGCAACTCGGGATAGACCATCCCGACGCAATGGGCAAATTATTACTACCCTAGTATTTTGGGTTTGCCAGCTCCGCACCCTTGATAGACTTGGTAACTTCTTGTAGACTTCCGTTTTTATCACTGTTTTTGTAAGGCTAACTATGTACAAAGGCGGGATTACCTTTCGATCAATACATGTTATTGTTTTAAAGATGTGCTAGACGAGGCTGACACTTGTAAACAATACAACGTGAATAAGCATCGCGGGCAGGATTTCAAGGATCGTGGGCGAAACTAAAGCGACGCGGATGTTTGTCTAAGCGACGCGGGCCCGCAGTGCTTGAAAGGCCTGGGGAGAACACTGAATACACATCAAAGACAACTTACCGATAACCTTGGCACGTCCCACAGTGGTTTTATAACTATCATTTAAGAGAAAAACATTAAATGTTCTATGGTATATCTCCTCAGTGTTCTGACATTCCTCTTGTGAAGACGTTGAGGGATCAGTGTTTTTTTTCATTGGCAGCCACATATCAAATTCAGCCATCCAGTTCTGGATGGTGTTAATGGGAACAATGCAAAGTATGCTTTTGGCAGTTGTGTTACGAAAGATAACGTCTATGAAGGAAATGACTTGTAGCGTCTTTCCTAGACCCATACTGTGAGCTAGAATGCACCCAAATCCAGAGCTACTTTTGAATCGCTGTAGTGACTCCACCATGTTGTCGTACAAGAAACGGATGCCACCAATCTAGAAAAAAAAATGAGTTCAGATGTCAAAAAATCAACATTATTTGACTAGACATAATTATTCAGGAAGTATACTTCTTTGGGGTTTACTATATATCAGCATTTAATCTGTGTCACATGTTGAACAACTTTCTGCAGTTAGTTCTACCATGGAGGTGTAAACATACCTCCATGGTTCTACTTTCAGTGAAATCTCAAAATTCTGGCGAATGCCTGACGAGATACGACAAGAACTTTACACAATCTTTTGAACAACTTGGGAAACGTATGATTTGCACAATTAGAAAAACATCTACAATAAAAGCACACATAAACCAAAAATGACATTTAATGTAACATGTATATAACACGTAGCCTGATATAGTCCACTTAAGGTGTCAACATATAAAATATTGAAGCAATCGGGCTAGCTGTTTTCAAGTCGAAAATAACACTTTTTACCAAAAATGACAAATATATTCATCAAAATTAGAGATTTATATATATTCTAATGAAATGAACAAATCTAAGAAAGGTTCACATAAGGAATTTATACCAAGTATCAAAGCAATCAGACTTTCCGTTTTCAAGAAGAAGTTAAATGTAAAGTTGACAATGACAGAGCAAATACTAAACCCCCATATTTAACCTGACACACACACATCAACTTACCTGGTGTGGCTTGACTGCTTTCGCAAGTTGTGGAGCCAGGAAAATATCGGGTTCATCAGAGGGTGACTGACATTCACTAACACTCTACCCAGATGGTCTGGCTGGTTGAACTGATCATTGACGTGTGTCCCGCTATTTTCCAAATCATCATCAGCTCCATCGCTGTCATCTGTATCCACCATGACGTCTCGTCCGAACTTGAAATTTCAATGACATCACAGTCTATGCAACAGAAATCAAGTTTGGCTTATACAGCAACAGTAATAAGGTTTCAACAAACTGATTTTTAATAATCTATAATAATACATTTGTTTGTACTAGTTGCAATCCAGGCCAATTAATTACTTGGAAACCGAGATTTACATGAAGGGTGATGCACTTCTAATATATAAAAGAACGAAAACATTAATGATAATTGGCAGGACGCTAGTTTTAAAACTAGAACTGCATTCTCTCTCACCTTCTTTCTGTTGTTCTTGTTGCCTTTTGGAGTCTTCTTCTCCACTACTACTGCTATCCAATACAATGCATTCTGGTTCATCCACTTTTAACAGCTTCTCAAATTCAGTTTTTAGATTGGGCATTGGAATCTGCCGAGCTACGTCAATTTTTTGATATGATAAACTCGGCATAATAGGTGCAGCTGATTGGGGTTTATCTGTAATCAAGAAAACAAGTGAAACTGTTAAAAGATTTACACACATGTACATGTAAGTGTATTTTATAAATATTTATCATAATCAAAGAGTGATATGTAATGTATATAATTTCATTGCAATACCACCCCGCCATTTTTATTAGCTGCGAAAATATTGAACAGAGTTCAACATTACTAGTACATGTAGATCACGCACACAGACTACCAAATATTGATCTAGGATTACAATTTTCTTAACTTAGTAGCACAACTGGTTCACTAAAAATTTCCAAAATATTAATTAAGCTTTACATTGATATGTATTTTCTCGCATTTACAATTGTTCGGATGGCTTAAGTACATGTACTAAATGTGATGAATTACACAATTTTATCACGCAATTACTACTAGCTTTTGAATTTGATAACCCAGCAGACTTCCTAAAAATGTTAATTTTAAGCCCTGCTAAACAAAAATTAAGTCGTTTCAGGATAATATTTAAATTACCAAAGACACAATTTTTTTTACATGGAATAGTCCCTTGTACAATGCATGTATTCAGCAATTGAGGAGACAACAAAAGGAAAGGAAAAAAAAAAAAAAGAGAGTCAAAAACCAAATAGAAACTGCCACACATAGATTGTACGGTAACCACTATGTTGTCTATCAAATTGAAACCTGTGTGTCAGAGAAATTGAATAGACATAAAAATAAAACAAAACTCATTGTGACTGTAAAATAATGGCACATATCTTCAAAGATTTTATGTTTTTTTTTAAATGGTAATTTTTTACATTTTTAAGATCATGGCAAGAACACTAACTATTTTAATTTCCATGTTATCATGAATCAATGAAAAACATATAATTTTGTAGCAGAAAAAAATCAGTGTCATAAAAATACAGCGACTTTCACCATTTATATTAAACTATCAAATTCGCCAAATTCCCAGTAGTAAAAATTATATGGTTAATAGTAATAAATTTTATAACTTAAGTTGCGAGTATTAGGCAAAGATAATGAAATTAGGTAAATGAATTTCATACACGTCAACACTACTACTTTTTGTGCAATGATCAATAATTATTCTAATAATAAACATGATGAGTAATACAGGAAGTCCATTGAAATTCCTTAAATAGCATTTCAAGACCTTTGTTAAATGTTAATGAAGTTAGCGTAAATTGACATTTCACATCATGAATTCTATCAAGATTTAACAGACAATACGAATCATGAAACCATGTGGAACAATGCAAGCATGCATATTAATTCGTTCGTACATATAGGTTTTCCTTTTGAATTAGACCACCAAAATATAAATGCAAGAATTTGAATGATAAACTGACATTATATTAGAAAGGTGTTGGTTTCCTTCATCTTAAATAGGTGATTTTCTGTTCAACCATAGTCTATGGTTCAACTGCGAGATCTTGTGAGTTGCGTGAGAGATGTGTGCCGAACGTCTGCCGCAAAAAACGAACAATTTGATTTTGAACTTAAATTTCTTTATTTTTGACAGGGGAATATCACACTTGAATACCCTTACTTCATCAAAATTTACAATTGTCCAATGTGTACAGCATGTTATTAAGCATGGAAATATCCCCCAAAATACTTTTGCATTTATCGAATCTCACGTGATGTTTGAGACCACTACGACGCTATGACTTTTGTTTGTAATGTCCTGGTTTTACGTTTGATTTCACGCATGACGCAAGATCTCACAGTAAACGGAAAATGGCCTATTAGCAAAAACATTAATTTATAAGAAATGTCACATACTTGTAGTATATTAATAGTACAGTAGTTTCTAAGAAATTGCCAATGTAATCCAAGTTTCTGACGAGTTCCACTTTCTCCCTGAATGACAACTTAACAACAATCTGCACAATAAGTACATTCCCCATCAGTGTTTTAATCAGCCGTCAATCAACACTTTGTTAAGCTACTACAAAATCCACACCAACATCATTTCACATTTGACAGACGTAATGCAATTATTACATACATGTAGCACATTACTATACATATTATTATTATTCATATTATTCATATTATTATTACTATTGTAATCACTATTACATGTATTAATTCTATGACTGGTTAAATTTATTAGTATGTTATTAGTGGCCTGAACTGTAGTGTAAAAAAATAATTATATTAAAAAAATATTCAAATTTCAAAATGTAAAAATGTACATGTCATATTTTATTTTGTTTTTGGGGCGAAGGACATGTCTGAATTTTAAAATAAAAATTTATGAAAAAGTCATGATTTATAACAATTTTAAAATAAAAACCAAAATACATATTGATTTTCAAAAACAAGTTGCCAGTAAGATTTACTTCAATTTTCTGGCTATAATTTATAGTTATTCTTATTGAAACAACTGTAGATAAAACATATACATATTTTATTACTAAGACAAGACACACTTTGCCACATGAGACAACTAGGCCGGGTCATCTACATCAATCAATACGATTAGATGGTTCAACTCATTAATCAGCACATGGATATATGATTGAGCTCACCTGGTCATAATCCAATTTATTCAATTTTATATTATACAGGATATTACACAATAAAACAATGGTGATACTTTGTACAGATAACTAAAACCTAACCATAAATCGGTTGCAAAGGCCACAGTATCAAGTATAATAAAAATAGAAACAGGTCATCAGAACTAATGCACACATTATTAATAACACATAACGAGCCATGACAAGGAATTTATGTGTTTTGAACAATAATTAACCAGTACAATTCAGATTGTATCAACAGAATTTGTGTCTGTTATCAATATTTAATTACCAATGATGTCATTTTTTTTAAAATAATCAATAATTTAATTATTTTTTCTTTCTATTTAGTTGAAATGTAAAGCAATTATTTTACCTCAATGGACTCTAACAATATTTTCTTTATCTTTCAAAAGAGCATTAGGTGAACACAATGGTTTTGTTGTCAGTTGTACAAAGTAAGCAGCTCAAATACTTCCAAGACCTTTTAATAAATGCTTCAAAAATGGACATATTTAAAAAGTCTTAACTTTTTTATGATTTTTTATGCTAATTTCATCACTTATTACAATAGTGTCAGTAATTAAAATTCAGTAATTTGTTTTTACTTACGTGTGCTTCGAAAACACTAAAGCACTTTTTTTTAACTGGTTTTTATTTTAACTGATTAATTAATCCTTTCAGTGGAAAAAAAAAATTAAAGTTACTTTACAGTAACTATGTTGTTATTAATGTCAGTCAATGGGGCACTGTGCTGCCTTCATGCAAAATTTGCGATATTCTCATGTAGGTACATTGTATTGATCTAATTTACTAATGCAAATCTGGAGACCCAAGCCACACACTGAATAGTGAAATATACGTTTTCACATCTGCATACATTGTTGCATACTGGATACCATCAAAATTTCAGTGTCCAATAAAAATAAAAATGTTATTCCTAACAAAAATTCATCAAGCCCATAAAACTACTCAATTATCCCTATATAGTACTGTACTGATCATCGGCACAATGTTTATGATTTTTTTTAAAACCCTAACTGTATCCAAGATATAAATGTGATGAACCACAAATAAACTTCATTACACGTATTAGCTCTGTTAGTAGCGCAACACTTACTATAGATAAAAGATACAGGTGTTTCTATAATCAAAATACATATATTTGAATGGTTCAGTATTCAAGAACTTAATATGCTTCTATTAGAATATAAAAGGGCAAATACAGTAATATTGTAATTTATCTTGATAGTGACAGGTGCATCAAGAAATAGAACAGAACACTGATAATCACAAACCTGTCCAATGAACAGGTGCATGACTCTAATTTTTAATTTCATCTCTTCTTCAAAAATAAGTGGAAACTGAAAGTGAAAGGATTAATTTTGATAACTTACCTAACAGTGCACTGAGATGAAAAGAGCCGTTACTAGTACTAGATTGTATTGGCATTAGAAACGGTGGTGGTGGCAATGGTTTTAATGGTGGTGGTGATGCAGCTTTGGTTTCCATGGTTTTCTGTAATTCAGATTGCTGTTTTTGGAGTTCAGCCTGCTGTTTTTGTAATTCCAACAATCTCTTTTTTCTGTTTTCCTCTTCTAGTTGAGCCTCTAAGGTGTCAGTCGCCAATTCTTTCTCTGTCATAAATTTTCTGAAACAAAAACAAAACAACATTTACGTAATGGTAATTGTAAACAATATAGAGTTGAGCGTTTTGTAAATAACAGTATTTTATTCATTCAAAATGTATTTGTACTTATTTCAATTTCCATCACATCCACATTACATTTGAACAATTTCCTTCATGTACAATAAGCGCAGTTACAACGCAGGATTTACTCCCGTAAAAGAAAGAAAATTACTCCACTGTATGCAAATGTATGCACCATCGCTTGGTGGCACAAGGGCACAAGTGATGTAAAATCAGCTTATTAAGGCATTTAGGGATATTAAATAAATTACAAACGGAAAAAGGTGCATATTAATGTAAAATACATTATTTTTTAGATTGAATTTATTTTTGCTGAAAAGACATTTTGGTTGTTTGTATAAAGTTTATTTTCATTGATTTTTGAGTTGAGTTGAATGTAAAATATAGAGAAAAACTTTTTTTAACTGGTTTTTATTTTCACTGATTAATTAATCCTTTCAGTGGAAAAAAAAAAAATTGAAGTTACACTAACTATGTTGTTATTAATGTCAGTCAATCTGGGCACTGTGCTGCCTTCATTCAAACTTTGCAATATTCTCATCTAGGTACATTGTTTTGATCAAGTTCAGCTGCTTCTATACTTGCAATCAATCTTCAACTGTGGTGATACATTATGTGTCTGTCAATATTATTTACTACTACATATGTTTCTCAATCCAGGGTAATTTAAAAAAGATGTGGTGGTGTAGTTTTTAACAACTTATATGATTGAGATATTAATTCAATACAGCAACATTTAAAATTGTTTCATGGTTGTGGCTATTTTTTTACAAATTGAGTTGCATACTATTTAACATAATGTACAGTTATGTTTTTTGATAGAAATTTGATTAACTTTACACAGTGACACCTACATGTTTTTTGTACATTATATTAATTTATTGAAATAGGATATATTACTATTAATATATTGATTGATATTTATAATTAGGATACAATTTATATACAGAGTATCAGCTGAATCCGGTACAATTTTGACCCTCCTCCTCAAACAATTCTTTGTTTTACTGCCTCCGCAACAGCTTTGGCATGTGCTGGTAAATTGCATACCACATTCAAAAAACAT